TTCACCAAACTTGACTGATTTCTGTGAGAATATTGGGTCCATGTGGGTTCCAATAGGTCTTCTCAAGTATTTGTGACAATTAGGATACAGTTCAACAGATGATTAATCTGAAAAATCTACCTTCTGTCACTTTTCCAAATGATCAACTAAAAGTCAAGTTATTTTTTGTTGCTCTTACAACTGATATTGACGACAGGACTTTTATCAGGTAGTGTAATTCCATTCATAACTACAGTATGTAACCCATGAGGTTGCGTGTTCACCAATGTGTTTTTATGCTGCAGAAATGTGAGCGCTGTTCTAGCTGTAGCTATCAGCTGTAAGAATTTTTGCAGTGTATATTTTTTAAGTCGGTGGGGATAATACAGAGTATCCCCACAGCACCTTTACAAGTTGCAAATCTTTAGCACATTAATTGTTGGCAGTTGCCTGGTATTGTCCCACCCCTCATTCAATGTGACTCAAAAGTTACACAGATTGGTGCTGTATGTGTTTTTTTTTAAAGTCTGAAAAAATGCTGAGTGTTCAGCGTTGACTGTAAAATGCTGCAGGGCCTCAAAAAATGTACCAGTATAAATGAAAACTACAAAAAACAAATGCTAAACTTGATAAAAAAAAAAACCCTGTGCTGAACACGCATCCTAACATTAGTCCAAACACTAAGTTTTAAAATAACATAGACTTAGCATTAACAGCATAACACAGTCAGAGCATTTATATACTGTTTAGCCACACATGTAAGTCGCTTTGGATAAAGGTGTCTGCTAAGTGAGTAAAAGTAAATGTTATCATGGACCTTTATATATTATAGGCCGTTGTGCAAGCTTTCTAATGCATAATGTCTTATTCACCAACCCAGTATGTTGTATTGTTCATCTAAATCAGGGGTGCCAAAACTTTTTCTTATGAAGGGCCAAAAACCAAACTTAATTGTGGCCAGTGGGCCGAAGGTAAATATAGTTGTCATTGGGATTTCCTAATTTTATTCACTCATTTTCTTTTAGGCCTAGTCCCTTTATTAATCTGCGGTCGCCACAGTGGAATAAACCGCCGGATTTTCTAATTTATTTTATAATATTTAAAAATAACTAGAAAGCTTTGCTTTATATTAATTCATATGTTTTTTTTTTACATTTTATAATGGTTTTAATAAAGTAAAAACAAGAACAATCTCATTTATAATAAATGGAAATACACCCATTTTTGCTGTGATTTGCTTGCCGATGTCTTTTGCATAGTCTGCTATCCGTCAAGTGACAGTATTTACATTTTAACTTAAACATTTAATTGAAACATTTGCTTTTTTGTATCTCAGCAATAAAAAAAAAAAAAAACATTTTACGTCAAATTAAACACGATGAAAGACATTGTCCATTATTCTTACTTTCTTTTCAGATGGAATGGTTGGTCAAATCAAAGATTACAAATGGGCCAACTTGGGCCTGCAGGCCCTACTTTGGGCATCTCTGATCTAAATGATTCATTGTTGATATCCTGGGTGATGAAACTTACATTTAAAAAGGGATGCAAAAACTGTCAACATCCAGACTGTTTTAAATGCACTCAGGACCATTTGCTAAGACAGTAAATGTACTGTAATAATGTAGTGAATGTGTCGTTTCTTACACAAAACAATCGTTTTGCCTTGTAAGACTGTAGTGTATTGTCAAGAACCAAATGTATCAATTTTGGTTTGCCTGTATATGATTTATTGGACTCTCTAAGTGCTGCTAGTCACTGACTTGGATTTTATGAATCTCCAAGAATCACAGTTTCAGCTGAACATCATCTTTAATGTTCTACTAAATAAAATAAAAAGTCACTCTGGGTTAATAAAGAGCAAAATTTAATATCTGGGAGAACTATCACTTTAAGCAAAGTGTGTTAACCATGCACGAAGGTGCAATTTTTTACAAGTCCAGATTGCTTTGTTATGTTTGCTGCGACAATAAATGCTGACAATGTTTTTTAATTGCTACATGAAAATAGACAATGCCAAACACATGTCCAATTTCTGTTTCAAAACTCCCAAATAATTGTATTGTCCTACGTTTCGTGATAAAAATAAAAGTTTTTTATCAGCATCTATGGTCGCCAATCTTACTGAAGTCAAAACATCAATGAACAAAACATTTTTTTAGGGAAAAGGGTTCATTCCCCAAAAAGGTGTCAAAAACCTTTAGGTCAACAACCATATTAATATTGTGTTGTTGTATTTATATTCTATGCTAGTTACTGACAGATACCAGCAATGACAAAATGTGTTTTTTTGCTATAAAAAAAAAAACAATGCCATGGAAGAGTGGGTTCCCCAAAGATAGATTCAGTTAACATTTCTTAAAATAATTATGAATTATAAGTATAAACGTATTTGTGTGACAGAAAGTGTGAAAAACATTTTTCCAAGTTGTTTTATTTCTAAAGGCTACAAAATAAAAATTGTAAAGGTGTAAGTTGTTTAAAGGAAATGAAGGTAGGTTATTGTCAATTTTAATTGTAGGTGTCCAATAACCCTAAAACAAAAACAGTGTGAAGGCAATTATGCTTACTTTCCTTTGCTGGTCATCTAACCACATCACTGGTCTATGTATAATCTCTGTGTTATTTCGTAATAATGTAATCTGGTCAAGGCTGTGGCACATGTGTCTCTTGATCCATCGCAGAGACGGATTTCGAGCCCTGAGCAACAAGTGTCCTATTTAATTTCTGTCACTCGTTTTAACACTGTTATAAACTCGCTTGTTTGGAGCGAAATGAATGCCGACAACCCATTAGTCACACAATAATTGCTTATGTCATAAAATTAACCCATTCTATCTAGATTTATAGGTGACCTCACTGCGATGTGCATTCATACCAATAAGAGTTTACCAAAATATTAGTAACTTTTTGAAAGGGCAGTTAAGTAATTTAATAATACGACCCCAAGCAAGATATTTAATTCATTTATACAAATATGTAGCCTTCAGCAATTTCTTACGGTCCACATGTAGTGTTCCTCTAATAAGCGCGTTTAAAAACAAAATGATGCTTACCCGGAATGGCGAGGTTGGTAAGAGGAATACCGTGCAAGGTGTCCGGTAAACTAGACATCCAGTCCGCATAACGGAGTTCGCTCTTCCCCTGAGACGAGGCCATGCTGTCGGTTCTCCGGTGCTCGGTGTCCGCGCTCGCTCTGAGTGCTTGAGTCTTCAGCGCCGCGCTCGCGTGAGTTCACAGCGCGAGCATCACCACACCCCCGAGACGCGCGCGCCGCACATACATCACTATTTCCCAGCCTTCTGGATTTCAACTGCGTCTTTACTACATATACACGTTTGATGTATGTAACATGTCTTTTTTGTTTTGTTTTTCCTCTCTCATGTGTCTGCGGAGTGTGCGCGCAATTAGATAACCGTCGGTGCGCGCGGCGAGTGCGGATTTAATTCATTCATTTGATGTTATTGAACAATTACTGTTTGCGTCGAGAAACAAGGCGGACGACTTCTCCATCCGTGAATCACACATTCTCACCCTTTCATGTCACGTTAGATATGCTATTAGCACAGTCAAAATACACGTTTGCAAGTCTGAATTATAAGGCGCGCAAGGACAAAAGGTGCAACAGGTGTAAACAGACGTGTCAGGCAAATGACAAAACAACAAACGGATATCCTCAGTGATGATAATAAACTAGATACACAATTAAACATGATGTCTGTCTTGAGCGCCATTCAGACTGCATGGAAATGTGCATCGGGTTTTCTTAATAATATGTGCAACAAAAACCACATGAAGCCTTTTTTGTAATCTGGTTTGGGCAATATGTGCTCTTAAATCTGATAAAGGTAACCCGTTGTGAACAGTAATTGAAATTCATGCATTTGTACACTACCTAACAGAAGTTTTGTCGTCGATACCAGTTGTAAGCAACAAATAATAACTCGACTTCAAGTTGATCAGTTGGAAACGTGTCAGGTAAATTTTTCCAATAAATCTGTTGAACTGCATCCCAATCATCACAAATACTGCAGAAGATCTATTGGAACCCGCATGGACACAAGATTCTCAAAGAAATCAGTCAAGTTTGGTGAAGGAAAAATGTATGGGGGCATGCAAGAGAGCTGCAGACTGGATAGCAACATCAACAGCCTGCGGTATCAAGACATTTGCGCTACACAGTACATTACAAACCACAGTTGAGGGCCAATTCTTAAGCAAGATTGCACTCTCTCATACTTCAGTCTCCACATCACAGTTCCTGAAAGCAAAAAAAGGTCCAAAGAATTCAAAGAATATTGATGGGAGTCCAGCAAGAACGCTTTCTTTGTCATTCCAGATGACTTTATTAATAAGTTATTTGAGTCATTGCAGAGATGTATGGCTGCAGTCCTCCAAGCTCATGGGAGTCAAACACAATATTAACTCTTTTTTTTACTGCACCATGACTTTATATTTTATACTGTACATTATTTCTGTTAAGTGACAAGACTTTGTCTTAGCAAAGCCAGACCTTATTGTCCTAATTAAATAATTAAAAATCAAGGCATGATCATATTTTATTTTTCAAAAATAAGCATAATCTAGAGGCATTTGCCTTTCATATAAGCCACTTTTGATAAAAATGAGCAACTAGAAGTCAAGTTATTATTCCTAAAACTTGGAAAGGCAACAAGACTTTCATCAGATAGTGTAGTTGGACCAACAATCCTAATAACTGTGCAGTTACAGTCAGCAGTGAAAGCTACATACAAACCAAATGTGAATATAGAGTGAATATTTAAATATGTTCTAATACAAAAATGCACATCTTAGTAATAAATCAGAACTGAGCTCTGATGCGTGCAACATGAATCAGACTACAGGAATATGTGGCCCAAATCTGATTTTGTTTTTGGCACATTTGCTTTATTCATGACAGTGTGAATAGCACAAACCACATGGAATCTAAACTTTTCAATTCTGATCAGAATCTCTTTCATATGTTGTCCTAAATCAGACATATCAGGCAATGCCTCCTCAATGTAAACAGTCAAACTTTATGCAACTTCTACATCACTCTAGACCAGAGATGCCCAAAGTAGAGCCCTTTGGGCCAAAATTAACCCACTATAACCTTTGATTTGGCCATCCCATCTGAGAAATGAGAAGGATGGAGAGGATCAGGGCGGAGACTTTCAAAAGAGATCGTCATTTCTAATTTGACGTAACCTATTTTGTTTGTTTTATTTTTGAGTCACAAAAAGCTAGCTGAAATGAATTTTTTTAAAAATTAAATGTTGTAAATAAATCAGATTTTTAAAAATGTAAATGATGTCACTCGACAGATAGAAAAATAGACATCGGTAAGCAATTCAAGTCAAAAACTATTGTAACTCCATTCTGTTGTAAATAAGATTGTTTTTGTATTTATTGTAATAGGTTCAATATTAAATGTTCAAGAATTATGCTGCATTAGTTCATATAATGCAATCTTTTCTAATTAGTTTTAAATATTATTAAATAAATTAGAACATTACCCCTGGCAACTATATTTACCGTAGCCCACTAGCCTCAATCAAGGTTGGTTTTCGGCGCTTCATAAGAAAATGTTTGAGCACCCCTGCTCTAGACCAACATTCTTTATATTTGTGTGCAGACAGCGAGTCACTGCAAAGGTTTTACATTCCACGGATATGACAGACAGTTGTAGAGATACAGTGAAGGGACAGTCAGGAGAACTCACATATATTACAGCAGTTTATTGACAGCTCCATACTAGCTAAACTTCATTCTAGGTCATACGGTTCATTTGTAAAAACTTTGCAATTTGACTTCATCCTCATTTCCTGCACAGAAATGACCTTGCTTCCAAAGCACATCATCGTATCAATAAATATATAAAGACTGACTATAGAGATGTGCTTGCTATAGCTCTTTTGTGCAGTTTTCAGGTCAGTGTGGAAAACACACTAGAATTTGATATTAGCCACATTTATAAAATAACAAGAAGATTCAAACTAAATAAAACATTTAAATAGAGTACCAACGTTTGTAGTGAGAATGCAGCCTTGCTCTCCATTTACCTTCATTAAATGGAGTTAAACAGTAATAGTCTAATCAGACATATCTTTCAAGTATAACATGAGGGTTTTGCTATAAACTAACACTTTAAACTATAAAACACAATATTCATTTTCACTTAGGTCACGAATAGACATTTATTGCTTTGTACAAGTGATATGTACACAATGTGGAAAGAACATGTAAGGCCTCAGACCTGTGAAGTGAATTAGTTGGGCAGATGGTAAATCTACTGTACATAAATCATGAAGTCCAGGCTTATTGTGATGAAGGATTAAACACTTGTTTGTTTCATTTTTAAACTGAATTACTATAATGACAATATTCGCTATTCAGTACCTATTGATGCTAGTCTAACAGAGTTCGGCATTTAAATAAACTCACATGTCTATGCTATTCTTCTATTGCACATTCATGGAAATTATATGAACACATGAAGATACTGTGATGGCTTGATGAATATTTGAATTCTTGAGCATGCTTCAGTGAATTTCCTTAAAAGAATCTTCAACCGAAGACCTACAGTAAAAGGATTTGCTTGGAGGATTTGACAAATGCGTGATTTCCGTGAGCTGTGCAAACTACATATACCTGAAGCATTTTTACCTAAATCTCCTAAATCTGTTGCATTGGTTTCAAGTTGGGAGATACCTGTTTGGGGGAGAAAAAAACAGAAATGTCAAAATGATGACCCTGAACTCAGATGTTAGATTTTATACAAGCAACCATTTTAAGGCTGCACTTGTGTTTAAATATCAATATGCTGGAAAGCGTTCAGTGTTATTAGTCTTTGTGTAATTCCAAAACTGTACCTCAAAGGGTGTTCCTGTGCATTTCTTGATGTCATCTGGCGTTAGACCCTCCCAAACCTCAATCAGGGTTAAACCTTTGTCCTTGTCCACATCAAACACGGCCTGGAGAAGACAGGAGAACAATGTGACCATGACAGAAGTGCCATCAGATGTGCAGCCATGTGGAAGGGAACTGCTCTGACCTTGAGGATGTGGTCAGATGGAACACAGAAATGCAATGTGGCCATAAAATAAAAAAGCACATGAAAAGGCACTTTGTGTGATGTGATAAAAAAAAAAAAAAAAGATTTTTCAACACATTTCTAAACAATAGTTTTAAGAATTCATTTGTAATAACGGATTTATTTTATCTTTGCCATGATGACAGTAAATAATATTTGACTAGATATTTTTCAAGACACTTCTATACAGCTTAAAGTGACATTTAAAGGCTTAACCAAGTTAAGTAGGCAGGATAGGGCAATTAGGCAAGTTATTGTATAACGATGGTTGCTTTCTATAGACACTCGAAAAAAAATCTAGCTTAAAGGGGGCTAATAATTCAGACTTCAACTGTATGTGTGTATGTAGATAGATAGATAGATAGATAGATAGATAGATAGATAGATAGATAGATAGATGATAGATAGATAGATAGATAGATAGATAGATAGATAGATAGATAGATAGATAGATAGATAGATAGATAGATAGATAGATAGATAGATAGATAGATAGATAGATAGATAGATAGATAGATGGCATAATCATGTGTATAAAAAAGAAAATCAAACACAGAGTCTAAAAACGCTTTTGTATGAGGAACTACTTTCTTCCGCCATACTTTCACATCTGCAGCTGACGTTAGAACAGCAGAAACTATTGCTACTTCACCAACATCCATTTAGGGTGCTTTCACACTTGGTTCATTTGCCTGGACCGTACCCAAGTTCGATTGTCTCCCCCTGCCACCTCCTCGGTTGGTTTGTGTTCATACTGTCTTTTTTCCTTCTGAACCCCGGTACGCTTGCGTCATTGAGCTGCTGTTTTGTTTACGGCCGTTGCTAGGTCACGAAAGTAAGCGCAAAAATGGAAAGACGTCCGCACATCGCAGTCATTCTGCTTTATCTGAAGCTTGTGGTTTTGGACATACAGAAAGCAAATTATTCTCCAGCATAATATCTAAAGCAGGGGTGCGCAAACTCTGTTCTGGAGGGCCTGTGTCCAACATATTTTAGTTCCAACCCCAATTAACACACCTAAACCAGCTGAAAAGCAGCACAAACACTACCAGATTACTGTTGTGTTTGTGATGAGGAAAAATGCTAAACACACGTGGGCATTTCTTCTTTCTTTTTTTTTACTGAACTAATCTGCTGTAACGAAAACAGGAGACTCATTAGAAACAGATGGTCAACCAAAAAGAGACTCAGGGTTATGCAAAGAGTGGCCAGCACAAAATACATACATTCCTGATATGCACTCTCAATACACTACAATTACCATAGGTTAAATACGGCACTACAACAAACAAAAGAGAGAGATCGACTTAGAATGTAATTTACCAGTTTAACAATATTTTGATTAGCTGTAGTTTGAAAATACGCAGATATTTTCCCATCTAAGAGCTTATTATGCAGTCTCTGTCACCATCTTGTGGATGAACAATGTCAACCGTCTTTGGTCTGCTACATGACAGGCTAATGGCCCCTGACACTGTCTCACAGAAATTATAAATATTAAAAATAGGCACTGTCCTTATATATAAACTGCATAGTTGCAATCTAAACAACTACATTCTCAACTAAAAAAAAAGCCTCAATTAGGAAAACTGTAGTGTCCTCTGCTTATCGCTGTATGTGGGCGGAGTAATACACAAGGGTGAAGGGTTAAGAGGCTGGACAAATGCAGAATATTGCATGACTCTTAGCCAATCAGATTCAAGAACCAGACAGAACAGTTGTATAAATTTATCCGCAGTGTTAACTATTTAAGTCAGTGTACTATGCCATGCTGTATTTACTATAAGTCAGTTGGATGATCTCAAGTCAAGTTACTATTTCTGATAATACTTTCTATCAAGCCCATGCTCATAATTAATTATAGCTCGATTTATTCATAATCAAATGTGTACATGAAGAACAATAAAATCTATAATGTATTGAAATGACAGTTAAAGCTGCATTTATAACAGTGTTATTAATACTAGTGATGCACTTCATCTCTAGCGTTTCTATGAGGCTCATCCTCATAATGAATTATAGCTCTGTTTATAATTATCTATAATAAAACTGAAATTGTAATGCAGACACAATCCGAAAAAAAGCAGAATATTTAATTAAACGCATTTCAACCCATATTTTAAATTATATGCGATGCTATGCAGAGCAGATTTGAACTGAGCTCAAAAACCTCCTTTTTCATATTAATCTTGCTCTAATTTAGATAATGTACTTTAAAATCAGCTCAGATGAAAACATCTCACATGCACTATTAGGAGAGACATTGCTTTTTAATGTTCTCTATGTATTTCAGCTTACAGTGATTAAAGAACAAACAGTTCTGACACAGTGTTAATATAATAACATAAAATGCAGAATGCTGGGCTGTTTTTTGTTAGGTTAAATAATTTTTGTAATTAGATTTTAACCCAGCAATTGGGTTTATTCATATGTGACCCGTAATTGTAAGCCAGCATTTTCAGAAGTTTTTGTGTTTTAAATAATATTTAACACACAATGTTGCTTGTGAAGACATAAACGCCATTTGTTAAATCAAGACACGTACAAAATGCATGATAATGACTTGCAAGAGGTCAAGCACATGCACTGCGCATGCTAAAGGCTACAAGTGAACCAAATCATGTATGTTCTCATGAAAGCAGCAGTCTGTTTTTAATGTTCAATGTGACCCAGAAACCTGTGGAGCACAACCTGCCACGGGCATCACGCTTGCCTTGAGCCTGCTGTCTCTATATCCTCTCTTCCACCTCAATGAGAGCCTCTAATTGCTGGAGGATTTGCACTGCAGTGTAACAATGCAGCCGATAGGAATAATCCACCTGTTCCAGTCTTAAACTCTGACAGTCCTCCCCCTAAAAAAACCCCCAAATCTTTCTCTCCTCAGAGATTGTGCTGCATGCTTGTTTGTTGTTGTTTTTTTTTTTTTTTCAAAAATCAGGGGAAGGCAAATTGAACAGTCAAATGCGGCAAGATGGATGGAGTAATCACATCACAGCTTGCCAGAAATGTTTATATAAAAACTTCCATTGCTGGAGATGTGTGTGCCGCTGAGATGACAAGAGGCAAATTGGCTCAGAAAGCCGCTTTTAGATTCATCTGCGTTTTTACGAAAGAGAGTTTGCTGCAATTTATTGGTTCAAATTCTATGACAGAGCCACATACTGTATTAAAAGCCCCTTATAATAAAAATAAGCACACCAACGAACATATAAAACACATATAGCTATTAAAAAATAAATAGGAGGCCACCTGAAAACTGGCTTTTTTTTTTTTTGCAATCATACTGCATTTCTTATTCTATCAAGGTCTGACAACATTCATTCCATATTTGAAATAAAACTATTGTTAATTAGAGCATTTTTACAATTTACTCACTGAAAATTAAGGTTATTCCACCAGATATTATTGTTAGAACTACTCTATTGTTCTGTATTGAAACCTTTGTATTAGTTTGTCCACAAATAAATGCAAACAAGTCTAAAACACTGCACCTTTTTGCTATTTTATACAGTTGTACTAAAAAGAATGCTGTATTTCTTAATAACCACTTTTATTACTCATGAGATAAATATCCATTTTTACTTGATGTAGTAGTGTACTAGAAAAACTACTGACCCAAACACGGAGTCATTTGTGCAGTTTTTACTGAATAATTGGCTAATGCATTAAAAGGTGTTCAGAATAACAGTGTGGAGTTTAATGAAGGAATACATTTCCTCTCTGAAAAAAACAAGGGTTATAATTCGTCCTTTATTAGGGCAGAAAGTCAGCAAAGGTGTCAGACATTGCTAAAAAATATGTATAAATATGTTTTGTTATGTGAAATAGGTCATTCCAATCCAAATATTGTTCAGAAGAACAACGTAATTCATGTACAGTAAAAGTTGATTGGACAAGGAAATATTATATGACAAGACGCTAATCTAAAATTTTCTCAAATTCTATAAAGGGCAACAAAAACCTGAAATATGTGGAACAATACAAGCAACTACAGTTAAAACTGATCAAAGAATAGAGTGGCAAAGATACAGCAAATGATTACCTTCAGAAACATCAAAGATGGTATAAAATTACCTGTAAGTACAGTTACAGTCAAAAGACGTTTGATGTAGGCTCAGCTGTCAGCAAGAAGCCTCCATCAAGCACCATTGTTGAAAAAAAAGAAAAGAAAATGGCATATGCAGAATAAGAAAAAATATTTGGCAAGGGACACATCGACTGGCCTAAACAAAAATGTGGACTGATGACAGCTAATTGTTCTTTCTTGATCTAGTGGTCATTGACATTATGTCAGACAACCCCAATGTACACATTTCAAGCCTCAGTACACTGGAGACTGTAAAAAACGCAAAAACCATGGTTTGGTTTTCTGTGGCATTGGGTGCACAAGTTTTATCAGAAAAGTTTTATTTACCAAGTTATATTTTTAACAAAAAATATGTTCTATTATGCTGAAGGGGATATTTCCCCAAAATCAGTGTTTCAACAAGACAACAATGCCAAACACACAAGCATGTGAGCAATAATGTAGTTAAAAAAAAAAAAAAAAAAAAAAAAAAAAAACTGAGGTAATGGAATAGTCAGCTCAATACCCTGACCACAACCCAACTGAATCTATGTCGGGTCAAATAAAACACCAACAATACCAGTGGCTATAGAATTAAATGTTAGTTCAGTAATTTGATAGCACGCGTTATAAACTCTTAATTAACCACCAATAATGAATCTTCTAAAATGGCTGTAAAATCTTAATTATTCATTGGGTTATGCTGAGAACATTAATACCAAATTTGCCATATTTAGGCAAACGTCCTGTACGTCACATTGATTTTGTTCAATAATCTTCTTGTGCAAACTTATCCTCGACTGTTGATTCAATGGTCACCAAAATTGACTCTGATCATCTTCAGGCCATGCAGACCAAAAGTTATGGAAATCATATAGATCAGCAAAATGGTTGTTGTTTATGGCATCGACAAATGTGCTAGCACAATGTCAAAGTGCATCAGAGGCTGTGACTCTGCAATGCTTAATGATATTGACACTGAACTTTAGATGAGTCATTGGCTTCTCACAATGACCCTAACACATACATTTGGTAATAGCGCCACCTAGTGGTCAAGAGTTATAAACCATTCGCTAATCAATAATGAATCATAAATTTGCTAATAACTTTAGACTGCATATATTTGATCTCAACTTATTCCTTGGGTCAAGCCAAGAACACTGATACCAAATATGCTATATTTGGCTAAACTTCCTTTCCGCCATATTGATTTTGTTCAGAAATTTCTTTTGCAAATTCCTCCAAGAGAGATTGCCAAAATAACAACAAATTTAACTGGGATCAGACCATGATGACCAAGTGTTGTTAAATTCATGTCAGTAGGTGAAATGGTTTTTGTCTACGGCACTAACAAATGTGCTCAAATGCTCATTCTGGCTCAGAACTGCTCGGCCCCTTAATTGCTGCTTGCAGCTATATTTTTAACTAGATTGGTATTAATTTTAACATGCATAATTCATAATATCTATTAGTACTTTGATGTCAAATTGAATGTGTAATGTTTTCACTATATTAGAAATACAGAAATAAAGACTATTTAAAAATAGTTGAATTTTTTTTAAACAATAGCACTTGTTTATATTTATTTTTAGATTATATAAATTCATCTAAAACATAAAAAATTCTTTGTAGACTTATTCTCATGAGATTGAAGCAAGGCATAAATCAGATCCTTTAATCTTCATTAGCTATTAAACTGGCCTCGGGGTCTTGAAGAACATGAGGGTTAAACTAAAGGTTCCTCTTCTTCCCGATGCAGAAGCTCAGCTTGTTAGTCTGACAGACAGGGGTTGTGTTGAACAGCAGGGTGACACGACAAACACAGGCCGAACAGAAGGTGGTGGCAGTGTAGCTGGAGACGTCTAACCTTTTTGAAACGCTGACAGAATCCTTTCATTGGAAACCACGTTGTGTAATTGTTACAAAAGCAAATGCTGGCATAGCATACAAAGAGGAGGTGGGGGAGAAAGAAAAGGGGAGGGCGGCATGTAGGACTGCTGTTATAAAGTCCAGTGGTACTGCTGGCGAGATGAGAAGCCGGATCTACAAGAGCCAGCAGCAGTCCATAAAACCCAGCTGAGAGACTCTATGAACAGCTGCATCTGTCTGGAGAGATTAAACCTTCTCCTAAGGTTTTTTAAAGGGATAGTTCACCCAAGAATTTATATATATATATATATATATTTGTATGGACAAAATAACAATTGTTTCATATTGTTCCATCGTTCATTTTGTGGTGTATTATGGTAATACTTTTTCAGAATTTATTTTAGCGCAACATTATGAGGGTGCAGGCAGAAACATGAAAACAAGCATCATGACAAAGTACAAAAAGTGTGAATGAAACGTTTACATTTAGTGTATTTTACAAATTTTTGTTTTTAGATTGGACACCCAGGCGAGTACACCATCAACAAATAGATTTGCTTCTAATCATCTAAATCCCAGCATCAGCACATTCAATAAATAACAGTTTGTAGGCAAAAGCAGCTAAATGCCACTTGCCTTTGACAGAAAAAGCCGTTATATCCCGACAACCAATCAGAAGGCACGCATCGAATCGCATGTTTTCAATGTAGCAGTACACTGATACGCCGGCTTTCATGAGGAGACTGTTTTATTTCGCTTTCGATTTCAAAGTAGTTTAATGAACTGGATGAGGCTGTCCGACTGTCAGTGAATGGCAAATGAAAACGTCTCTTACCTCAAAACTCTGTGCATTATAAGAAAAAGAAAACACAATGTGCAGTCGGAAGTGTAGCATGCATTCATAATGTTTTTTTGCGGAGCAACGCTATTTTAAATTAGTCAGATTTACTATACATTAAACGGCAACTCTGTTTCATGAAAGACAGAGTTAAGGTGTCTTTCTTTTATCCCACGTGGATGCTATGAGAATAAACAAGAGGTCAAGACCTTACGAATGGTAAGAATGAATGAATGACAGCTTCTAAAATTGTCTGAGAGGCATCCTTTTTTTGCCCAGTAGACCTTGTGTTTTATTTGCTAATTTAAGCTATTTTTTAAAAGATGAACATAATATATAAAACTATAAATTATTTGTATCACTTAATAATACTTATACATCTGATAAGCTTTTTATATTAATGGACACTGCACAGATATTGATGTTTTACAATGTTTTAAACTACAACATTTGAATCTACCAAGCTTAGTTTACAATGTTTGCAATGTTTATATTGTTCTACTTCTACATAAAATCTAAATCCCAAATATCAGAAATGACAAAAGATTGCTGAGATTTAATTAATGTTAATGTTATTTATTAATGCACTTACTTGACAGATTTCATGAAAACGGTGTTTTACTTGCAAATGTTTCATGCGATATTCCAGTTTTATGGATCTTTGGATATAAAATAGCTTTTATGGGCCCGACCATACACCCGGCACAATGTGGCGCAAGGCGTGGCGCAATTGTCTTTTGCTAGTTTTAGTTTGGTGCAAAATTGGTTTTGAGTCGTTGCACTACGCTGTTTAAAAAGCAAATGCATTAGCGCTCATATGTGCGCCCACAGGCGTTCTGGTCTAAAAAGAAAGGTGTTCTGAGGCGCACTGCTGGCGCGTTGGTATTTTGAGAAACTAAAATAGATTTTTCATTAGACAAAAACAAACTCCAGTCTAAACTCCGGTTGCGCCTCGCTTATGCACTGCTTAATACGCACAAGAGAGCAATAGGCAAATGTCTTTACGTATGAAAAAATGTAAATATTAAGGATATATATATATATATAGGATATAATAAGAATAGATATAGGATACAAATATAAAAAGGATTAAAATATTACAAAACATTATTTTCTAGTCTACATAAATATGAAAAATCACTGCTTTTATGTCTTCTTCATCTCGGGAGGCTTTTTCAGTTCATTCATAACAATTTGCTTTTGTATAATGTTATTATTATTAGCAGTATTATTTATTATATCCATATTTATATTTGTTTTATTAAAAACAAGCTTAGATTTGCCCACCTGTCAGGTTTTAGCCCATATGGGGCACAGCATGTGTTTTAGGATATAACTCAGGTTTATTTCTTCGTATTAACTTCGTTAATATTGTTTATTTATTCGTTTGCTGGAAATTAAAACTGAATTTAGAAATAGTTTTGAAACGAATATTTGCGCTTAACAAATGAAATTAATTATTTATAGGCTAATTGATGTCTGTGCGTAAAGGTTTCCCTATCCAAGATTGAAAGTGAAAGTGATCCATTATCTCTCCTTCTCACGCAGTAGATGCTCTGTTTAACAGTTTTCTGTTAAAAACTGTTTACTGTTTGCTTGTGAAATGCTCATTTTTTCCACTTAGACTTACTTTGCGTGCTGTAAAAAGCGAATGCGCTTATAGCACAACGCAGCTGGCTCTTAAAGGTAATGGGAGATGAGACTCTAATTGGTTTATTCTCAAAACACACCTATAACTCATTAAGAAAATAAACTCAACCCTTTTAGACCATGCGTCATGGCGCAAAGTGGATTTTCCCGTCCTTAAGTTAGCAAAAATGCGTTCTGACACGCCCTAAAAGCGATTGCGCCCTGCGTTTTGCGCTCTGCGCATGGACCGTCAAAATAGAGCCCTATGTGTTCAGCTGAATTTATTGTGATGCAATCAGAATGGCTAAAAACTAAATCGTACTGTTGTTTCACTTCTATTGATGCACTGAGAAGCAATATTGAATTCTAAAATCAAGGTTTGTTGAGATTCCAGGTCACAATTCCCACATGAAGGGGCATTCCTACTAAGTCAAAAACTCCTACTTTCCAAGATCAAATGTAATGCACCATATTAGTCTTCACTATAAAACTGAGTTTCCCACATCTCTGAATCCAGGCCATGTGGCAGAGCTGCTAATATTATTAAGCAACATTCACATTAAGAAGCTCTGGGTCTGAAAAAAAAAAACGGTCAATATGTAATGTCGCTCCGATCAGGAGATTTGATTAGGGTTGGTCCAATAATTGGATTTCCATTTTCCACTGCCTATGTGCAGTGTCATAACAATTTATCATGTCCCCTTATGTCTTTGTACATGCGTTAAGAGAAAAGAGCAAAGCCATTTTCACAGCTTTTCTCTGTGTTGACTGAAGTTTTATCCGAGACTGATTCGGTATATTGATGAAGTGATAAGCTGCTGAATAGATGACATTTATTCTTCACCAGAGGAGACTAGGTGGACACGGTGTGGGCTGTTGATTAAAGCAGCCTTCTAAATGTACAAAGGATGAAATCAATGACTCTTGTAAATCAAAACCCACCTTTTCTGTGATTATACGGTCCACACACTGCTTTCCGGTCAGAGGCAGATTGCACTTCTCCATAATCTTGTGTTTGCCACCCTGGAAAACACATGAAATAACAAAAAGATTCATTAACTGACAAGCAAACAATACAAATAATATTTTAAACTTTTTTTTTTTTACACATTACATATTATTCAGGTCATTTAACCACCAGGGTTGTTCAAAACTCATGATCTAAGAATTCACTCTCCTTCAGTTCATTATGTTGAATTGCCAAATCTCTTAACTGTGACTCATTAAATGAATTTAATCCTTCTAAATGAAAAACAATTATTGGATTCAGCATACTTCTCTAAACTTGAATACAATACATATATAACACACAGATTTAATACATTTTATACAGTGATATTCATGTTTATGTAATGCTCTTACTATTACTCGAACTATTAGCGCCCCTGTTTATTTTTTTCCTCAATTTCTATTTAACGAGGAAAAGATTTTTTTCAACACATTTCTAAACATAATAATCTTAATAACTCATTTCTAATAACTGATTCATATTATCTTTGCCATGATGACAGTACATAATATTTTACTAGATGTTTGTTCAAGACACTTCTATACAGCTTAAAGTGACATTTAAAGGCTTAATTAGCTTAATTAGGTTAACTAGGCAGGTTATGGTAATTAGGCAAGATATTGTATAACGATGGTTTGTTCTGTAGACTATTAAAAAACTTCTAGCTTAAAGGGGCTAATAATTTTGTCCTTAAAATGGTTTTAAAAAAAATCAAAACTGCTTTTATTCTAGACAAAATACAACAAATAAGTCTTTATCTAGAAGAAAAAAAAAACATTATTAGACATACTTTGAAAATTATTAAATATTTAAAAAATAAAAAATAAAATAAAATCAAAGGGGGGCTAATAATTCTGACGTCAACTGTATATACATACACGTGTTGAAACGTTATGTTAAAAGAAGCGATTTAAGCTCAAACTCATTTTATTTAAATACACAAAATTGAATTGGAAACACTAAACATTGCATTTTAAATCAAAACTTAAAGAATAAATAAACAAATATATTATTACTTTTCAGAAAGTGAATAAAAAGTAATTTATTCGGCTGTTCAAAAAATATGTCTGAATTGTTCTGTAAAAAATCTAATATTTACTATATTAACTGAAACTGGTGTGTTTGGGGTTGTAGTCTTGTTAAAATACTCATTTCAAGGGTATTTCCACTTTGGGAACAGGCAACATGACATTTTTAAATATTCTATTGTACTCAAATTGCTCCATGATCTCTGGATTGTGATAAATAGGCCCAACACTGTAGGGGAAGCATCCTCATATCACGATGCTTGCATCACCATGCTTAACTGTCTTCAGAGTGTACTCTACAATATATGATAATACACTAAACCATTTTTTCTTTATGTTTTGATTTAGAACTGAATGTTTAATGTTCCCAATGCTTTTGCTCATATTGAAATAAAAGTTATGAGTTTGAAATCCATTATGTTGAATATATGTGAATGGATTTTAAATATATACATTTAAAAGATACATGTTCGTCAACGTCAATTCTGCATGGTCTGGAATAAAAAGTAAAAAGGCATCCTCCAAAAAATTTGAATGGGTGTACAACCCTGTCATCCTCTCAGCAGCCCATGGGTACAGAAAACACTCTCCGCTCACAGTGCGCATCATCATTGGTAATGGATACACAGGCCCCGCTGACTCCATGTGCTGCTGGATCAGGGGATAATAATTAGAGAGCTGATGGCGGTTAATTCTTCTCATCCCACCAGGGGCAGGCAGCTGGTCCTGTTAGCCTTCCCACAGGCCATGAGCACAGCAGCTGTATCTTTCTAAGCCCATCTCTCTTGCCTTTCACTCCATCTCTGCCTCGACGGTCAAAATCGACACCATTCGTGACCTCAGAATAAATGTAAGCATATTTTGGCAGATGGGAACACTGAACTCTGACACGTATTATCGAACAGTGGTGTCCAAAGCTGAGTGTCTGAATGGCAGTTTTTTTTTTTCACTGCCTGCCACTAGATTTATAACAACAGACAGCATGAAGATTTGATTTGAGGCATCTGTTTTACAGCATATAGTGAATAGGACCTACAAACCGCAATAGTGCAGCATATGCTACTGAAGATGGAGCTAAAGAATAGTTTAAAGGAATAGTAAAGAGCACCACATGCCATTTCAAACGGTTTGCTGTCAAAGATTTTATTAAAAGCTCTTTCCTTTGAATGACAGTTCATAGTGGCTGTCAAGCTGAAAAAAGCTGCCACAAAAGCAGAAGAAAAGTAGGCCATGTGACTCCAGCTGTATATATTCAGAAGCTATATAAAGATATTGTATGGCTTCAGAATATAAAGAAAATCTATAATAAATTTGAATACTATTTTTTTTGTTGTTGTAAGAATACCCTGATATTTAAGCGGCTGCTGATACCTTTAAAGGGTCACGAAACACCAAAACACATTTTTTGAGCTGTTGACAGTGGTATATGTGTCCCACACTGCTATAAACACTATTAGGACACCTATATTTCACTAAAAAGTGTAAATTGGTTGTTTTTGCGTTATTACAAGCAAATTCGTACTTCTGGTTTGAAACTACTTTTTGAAGCTGCGTCACGGTCATGACATAATAGCCTGTATTCCAGCGTGCAGACTGGGCGTCTGTGCCAGAGTGTGTCTTATTACGTCTTACAGTGTGATGCATTAATGCATGAGTAAGGCTTGGTTCAAACCAATCAGCGCGCTCTATTGTGCAACTTCATTAATATTCATTACTATCACCGTGTTTTCAGGACAGAGATGCCACGTTGTGTTGGCAAAACAAGCGTGAAGTGTTGCTTTTATAGTTTACTGCAGTTAAGTTTCGTTTTCATTTTCTCTCTGTGAGAGCTCAGAGTCACGTGTGGATTACAGTGTACGCGACGCGCGACAACAATAACTTACGTGTCTAAGGAGGGTTATTGTTTACCTGAGAGCTGTTCTCATCTGCAAACGCTGAGATCTGGATTCGCTTGTAGTATTCTCTTCATAAAGACACGGCTCTAGTTGCTGGTGATTGTCCTGTCTCTACAGATTTGGTAAGTGAGCGACCAGTGCTCTTTGTTTATTCAGTTTGTTCGTATCTAACAAACTATTGCACAGAGTATAAACACGTTAGCACCACAACCAAACTTTAACCTCGTGTAGTGTTTTTACCGCATTTAGTGACCGGAATAACACACACGGCTTTCTGACGCTACCTGCCGTGTGCATCTAAGTTTCCGGGAAATGCGGAGGTTTTTTTTCTCTCATTCGCCGTGCGGTATCAAACATTGCATGAAAAATACACGCTTAGAGCAGCTCCTCGAATCAAATATCTCGTGTGTCGCGAGGGGCATGAATGAATTCCCTGAATGAAAGAGCCAAACTGCAGTTAAAGTCCACCATTTAATAATTTGGCAAATAATTCGACTACAGATGTCCATGTAGGTTAAACACCATCAGAAAGAAAAAAAAAACACCGTCAGAAAGCCGCGTGTGTTATTCCGGTCACTAAATGCGGTTAAAACCCTACACGAGGTTAAAGTTTGGTTGTGATGCTAACGTGTTTACACTCAGTGACTCGGTGCAATAGTTAACTTAATTCGATACGAACAAACTGAATAAACAAAGAGCACTGGTCGCTTACTTACCAAATCTGTAGAGACAGGACAATCACCAGTAACTAGAGCCGTGTCTTTATGAAGAGAAGACTACAAGCGAATCCAGATCTCAGCGTTTGGAGAGGAGAACAGCTCTCAGGTAAACAATAAACCTCCTTAGACACGTAAGTTATTGTTGTCGAGCGTCACGTACACTGTTAATCCACACGTGACGCCAGCTGCGCTCTCACAGAGAGAAAATGAAAACAAAACTTAACGGCAGCAAACTATAAAAGCAACACTTCACGCTTGTTCTGCCAACACAACGTGGCATCTCTGTCGTGAAAACACTGTGACACTAATGAATATTAATGAAGTTGCACAATAGAGCGCGCTGATTGGTTTGAACCAAGCCTTACTCATGCATTAATGCAGCACACTGTAAGACGTAATAAGACTCACTCTGGCACAGACGCCCAGTCTGCACGCTGGAATACACGCTATTATGTCATGACCGTGGCGCAGCTTCAAAAATTCGTTTCAAACCGGAAGTACGAATTTGCTTGAAATAACGCAAAAACAACCAATTTACACTTTTTAGTGAAATATAGGTGTCCTAATAGTGTTTTTAGCAGTGTGGGACACATATACCACTGTCAACAGCTCAAAAAATGTGTTTTGGTGTTTCGTGACCCTTTAAGGCTGATTTAAATCATGTTCTAAATAAAAGCACGGCACACGATTGAAGAAATATTTTCTATATTAAAAGGAGTTTTTGTCCAAATCAACACCTGAAAATTATATTTTAGAAACAGCTTCTATTTCTTGTAGCTGAACAACAGATAACTGACAGTTTACCTCAGGTACACCTAATGTGCTTTATTCAGTATTAAATGCTAATAATCTGTGTTGGAATGCCATTTTACATGACATTTTTTATGAAAGCAGCAGCAGCAGATATATATATATATATATATATATATATATATATAAAACCATTTAAAATTGTAATATCTTCGTTTTTTTATTATTTGCTATTTAATAACCTCCTCATGTAAAACTTAGAATTTTCGTTTTATTTCAAAGACTGCTTCTGTCCACCAGAGGCTGCTTTTCTGTCTTTTTGCTGAAATATAATTGGCTAAACTGGCATTGGGTGAGTTGAAGGGACCAAGCATTGAATGTCAAGAAACTAATTATGTCTGTGTCATGTATATATCTAGCTTTTATTTAATGTGCTGTTTGGAGCGACTGGTCATTATCAATTGTATAGCAAAATAAATAGAAATGTATGGTTTTGGGAAAAAAACATAAATACAAGTAAATAATGACAGAATGTTCATTTTTGTGGAACTATCCTATAAGGTAGCAAGCACACACAGCGTTGACAGCGCATATTCACAGAGCTGAAAGCATCTCAGAAAAGCAACGCCTATCCAACTGTCTGCTTAGGGAAAAGAGATTCTGTCACTCACAGGAAATAATGATGCCCTTCTCACTGCGAATATGTGCCATGCAATGTGACTCAATAAGAGTCTGTTCATTAAAGCTGATTGATGAAATCATTGCTTCTGTCCTAAAATAAAACTTCTTGGAGGAATTATGACAATTACCTAACATTATCGTTGTTACACACTTGTTCAAAACAATACATTTTTATAAATTTTGCTTTAATCTATAAGAGCTGATTTGCTAATATAAAAAATGTTTTCTTCTATGTATTTCATTTTAACAGCTTAAATAAATAAATATAATCAGGGATTCAAATAGTATTCCAGAGTTGGAGAAAGCCTACAAATGCAGTTTTGCTTCTAGTGACATAGAAAAAATATGGCTCAGACAAACATACAAATATGACCAACACAGGGATGATATATGTCCAGTAGCATGATTCATGATTCACTAAGAGTGTATATATAACTCCTATGAAATAAACAAACAAACAAAAAACTATTACTCTTAACAGTTTCAAATAAAGTTGATATCAGATTCTGACAACTGATTTTTGTTTTGAACGCATGACCTTACAGAAATTGCTTTAAAGGGGTTGTCCACAGTGTATTTTTAAGGTTTGGTTATGTTTATAAGATGCAAAGCAATGTGTGCTTATGCTTCACTTGTTAAAAATAGATAAATAAAAATATATAATAATAATAATAATAATAATAATAATAATAATAATAATAATGACATAAAAAAATACATTATTTTTCATTTATTTTAGTTTGATTATATACTGCTACTCAGCTAACATGGACATGACTATCATATTTCCTAGTTCCTCTGAAAGTCCCACCCTCAAGAAGCCTTGATTGGTCAGCTAACATAATGTGCTGTGAATTGGCTTCACGTCATCAGAAAAAGCGTCACACCTCTAATGGCATTGTGCTGTGCCCCTGTTGTGTAAATACTGTCAGTCAGTTTAACTGTTAGCTGTATCAGTTTAAGCCTTAATTAGACAGAAAATGAACAGCACACAGCTGAACCTCATGCCTGCTCTCTAAAATAAAATGTGACAAGTGTCTTTCACATATATATGGAACGAGCGTGTATAAGTAATATGAAATATTCGATTACATATCATCTTTTGCAAGTTTGTTATTTGAGAAGTAAAACGCAGAGAAAGCAGCCGTATAAAGAGACACTGCAGCGCTAGTGAAGTTTGTGGGTTTTTACAGCGGTTTGACTGATAAACATGAATTTGTACTGTGGCTAAATTGTTAGTGGTGCCAAGCAGCATTTCTCGTTGTTTATATCCTTGTTTATGTCCTTGCTATTACAATCCATTAAAGCTAGAAGCAATGCATGTAAAAGATTTTAACAAATAAAAATGTACAGGTTGTGGCTCACAATGCACAGCTTCTTCTATTATGGTTGGAGCTGCTCCTTCTTTGAGGAGTTTTTAGCCAAATCCAGCACTGAACGAGAGAGATTCTGGAAGCTGTCCTTTTTCAAATGCTAGCTATCCATCTTTTAATAATTCTCTGGAACATATTTAAAATTAAATTGTAAGCACTTCTCTCTTTGTGTTGTGTCCTCGGAAAGCCCAAACACAGAAACAAAAGAAGCTCTGTGGAAATTGCAGCATTTGAACAGCATTTTAGCTTTATCTGCTGTAACATTATAGTGCCTCTGGCCACACCCCTTCAATGCGCAGGGTGTTCGCACGTGGCAAATGCGCGTAAGCTGAAGCGTTTGTGATCTCATTAACCTGGATGTATTTTTTTGTAGTCCCTAAACTTTGAATGCTGTAGGCTTTGCTAAGCTAACTGTAAATGCCAATGTCTCCCTTTTCATTGAAATTTAAGCATAATACATTCAGAGATTACTTATGATGATACAGCTACATTACACATCAACTAAAGTTTAAAAATTATATCATCGTGGACCATCCCTTTAATATGCCAGAACCAAATTAGTTATTAGAATCTTGTTGATTAACAATTTGGCACACGCAAACACATACACATATATACTTTTAATTATGTATATACTTACACATTTAATGCTCTTTCTAAATTAAAATGGATACTAGAGGCAGAAAAAAATGTGTACCTGTTCATAAAAATAATAATACAGGTCAAATTACTGAACAATAAAGGCTTATGTTTAGTTTCATGCACTATATAAAGACCATAAAACACTCTTCATAAGACTTCACTGCACATGACTCATGTAATGAGCTGCTGTTAGGGCATTTATTTAGTTTTGCCTCTAAATATTTACAACTCAGGACTCTCAGACTATAAGAAACAAAATTCTCTGGTCTGATGAGACTAAAATTGAACTCTTTGGAGGGAATTCCAGGCGTTACGTTTGGAGAAAACCAGGCACTGCTCATCACTAGGCTAATACCATCCCTATAGTAAAGCATGGTGGTGGCAGCATCATGCTGTGGGGATGCTTTTCAGCAGAAGGAACTGGAAGACTAGTCAGGATAGAGGGAAAGATGAATGCAGCAATGTACAAAGACATCCTGAATGAAAACCTGATTCAGAGTGCTCTTGACCTCAGACTGAGGCGACAGTTCATCTTCGAGCAGGACAATGACCCAAAGCATACCGAAAAAATATCAATAGAGTGGCTTCAAAAAACTTGGTGAATATTCTTCAGTGGCCCAGCCAGAGCCCAGACCTAAATCTTATTGAACATCTCTGGAGAGATCTGAAAATGGCTGTACACCATAAAAAAAAAATGTACAAAAAGTCCCAAAGACAGGTGTGCCAAGCTTGTGGCATGATATTCAAAAAGACTTGAGGTTGTAATTGCTGCCAAAGGTGCATCAACAAAGTATTGAGCAAAGGCTGTGAATTCTGATGCACATGTGATTTTTCAAGCATTTTTGTTTGTAATAAATTTGCAACAATTTCTTTTCTTCACATTGTCATTATGGTGTATTGTGTGTAGAATTGGGAGGTAATAAATACATTTAAATGATTTTGGAATAAGGCTGTAACATAAACAAAAATGTGGAAAAAGTGAAGCTCTATGAATTCTTTCCAGATGCACTGCATAAACAGGACCACAAGCACAACGAAAGACCACAGTTTCAGCTACTATTTTGTACATATTTTTGTATCACACTGTTGTGTTTAACAAACTCACATCTGCAATATGAAAAAAAATTCCTACACAGCTTATAGCGCCTCTTCTGGACGAGCCATCTAAAAGGTGCAGTGAAATGCATCCCAGAGCAACTTATTTCAGGTTTTATAGAAACTAGCTTGATTTGAAAAGCACTCTATATGAAAAAAAGTCTTTCATATTGACACTCCACCAACAAAAACTCGCAATACAGAATAGCATAATAACGCATTCTTATGTGATTACACCTACCTTAGCTGAGTGCTCCATTGTAACAACCACTTTAGTCCCAGCACTGGCCACCAGATCCATCGCTCCTCCCATGCCCTTCACCATCTTACCCTGAAGAGAAAACATACACACAAAAAACAAACATCAAGATGGTGCAAGAAATGTGCAACACATGCAGTGCATCAAAACAGACTTTTACATAATAGGCACGCAATTTTTCAGGTTGAATAAAACTAATGAGAAATAAAAGATTTGATTTAAATGTAGTCTGCGTGTTCAAGGTGGACATACGAGCTCAGTCAGGTTTGTTCTGAAGGGGATCTGAAAGGGCATTGTTGCTAGGAAACCATAAACCTGATTACCTGTTGCTGGAGTCACTTAACAAAAGGGCCTTCGCAGTGACGCTCATTTTATTGTTTTGCTTTTTTTTGTAAACATGTACAAGTGCGGACACATGCAAAAACAAACTGGCCACATGAGAATGGTTGAAATCCACGAGGAGCATATGTGTTCACATTCTGAATGATAATGACTTCTTTTTGTCGTACACAGCTAAGAGAGCATTTAAAACTTCACATACTCTGGATTTACAATTCATAGTTATTTGCTAGAGGAAAATGTTACTTTGTGTTTACTCTGCACACCACTGATGACATTTCAATGTAAAACTTATTATTGAGAATTATTATTTTTTTGCATAGAATAAAAAGATTCAGATATACACCCACCGGCCACTTTATTAGGTACACCTTACTACCAGGATGGACCCCTTCAGAACAGCCTTCATCCCTCATGGTATAGATTCAACAAGGTACTGAAAATATTCTTCAGAGATTTTGCTGCATATCGACATGATAGCATCACACAGTTACTGCAGATTTGTCGGCTGATCATCCATGATGCAAAACTCCTGTTAAACCACATCCCAAAGGTGCTCTATTGGATTAAAATCTGGTGACTGTGGAGGCCATTTGGTTACAGTGAACTCATTGTCATGTTCAAGAAACAAGTCTGAGATCATTTGTGCTTTATGACATAGCGTGTTATCTTGCTGGAAGTAGCCATCAGAACACTGTGAACATAAAGGAATGGAGATGGTCAGCCACAACACTTGGGTAGTCTCTGGTGTTGACACAATTGCTCAACTGGAACTAATGAGCCCAAAAATGTGCCAATAAAATATCTCAAACACCGTTACACAACCACTACAACGTACGTTGACACAAGGTAGGATGGATCCATGCTTTCATGTTGTTGACGCCAAATTCAAACCCTACCATCCAAATGTCGCAGCAGAAATCAAGACTCAGACCAGGCAACTTTTTCTAATCTTCTATTGTCCAATTTTGTTGAGCCTGTGTGAATTGTTGCCTCAGTTTCCTGTCCTTAGCTGACAGGAGTGGCACACCGTGTGGTCTTCTGCTGTTGTAGCTCATCCACCTCAAGGTTTGACATGTTGTGCATTCAGAGATGGTCTTTTGCATACCTCAGTTGTGATCAGTGAATTTTTGAGTTACTGTTGCCTTTCTATCAGCTTAAACCAGTCTGCCCATTCCCCACTGACATATGGCATCATATTAGTTTTTAGCCAGCATAATATGAATGTTTTAACTAAACTTAAAGATATCAGTATTTGGTTGAATTGGACCTTAAATAAAAACAACAAAAACGAATAAAAATAAATTTTATTCTGACCAATTAAAAGAAAAATCGGCTCTAATCTTTTTTTTTTTATCTGAAATTGGGATGAAATATTATCTGATATTTATAGAATAAAACAAATTTTAACATTATACTCAAAGCCATACCTAATAAATCTGTTACTTCTAGAGTATCTGAGGATGTTCAAGTGGTCTACACTCCACAGTGTACTGTAGATTCAGTTTTGATGTTTGAATGCATAAACACAACATTTCCTACGATCCCTGAAGCAACACATTAAATCAATGTCTAAATATTCAGTCATAATTCAGTTCCTCTATGAAGAATGAGTCTTTTCCAGCAGCTTGACCATTCATGCTTCCCGTCATTTTACAGCGATTTCCAAAATCTATTTTGCAGGCTGTGGGAATTCATTTAAGAAAATGTCTTCTGCTGTTTCTTCAAGTATTGGACTGGAGCTCAAACAGCGTGCTCTCCTTCAGTCTCCAGCAGAGAAAGGCCTTGCTCAAATGCTTGAGTAGCTTCTCAATAAAATAGAGGTGAATATGAATGAAAAGCCTACAATCTTGATGGATTTTTGTTTTTTACTGCAGGTGGCTGCATTTTGTGCACACTGAATGCGCAGGAATGTGTCATAAAAATAATTATTACGAAATTATTAAAGAGGTATTTTCAAGGTCTTTTTAAAATGCCATCTGACAAAGTTATTACAGTATTTCTAGGGTTTTGTGACTCATGTTTTATAGTATAAAACCTTGCAATAAACCTGAAATTTCCAGAAATAATTTCACCAGAAATAAGCCAGTACATTTTTGTTATTTTACTTATTTTTCTATATATTTTTCTTGTACATTTTATTATTTTAAGCTACTAAAATGTCAACAAGTCACTTTTTTAAACTGCAAAGCTGAATTTTCAACAACAAAATTTAACAAACGCCTGTTCCCATCACTAAATAAAAACATTCTAGAAATTCTAACTTTTTTTTTTCTTCTAGCAGTTGCATGACACAAACACACATTGGCTATTCGCACTTGCAGACTTAGAAGTATATATAAAAGATTTGTATAAAATTTAAAGTTAAAATAGATTTAAAAGATTAGAACCCACAGATTTAACCTTTTTTTTTTCCAAGTTCTTACTTATTTACACAGATTTGTTTGTGAGATAAACTCAAACAATTGTGTATTATAAAGTCAAGACTGTGAGATATAGACTTATAATGATTTTTTTTTTAATCAGACAGAAAAAAAGTCAGAATTGTGATAAATCTTAAAAAGTAAATGACAGTGGTGAGAAAACAAACGTTAAGAAAGCATCAGGGTTCTCATTTATAAATGTGGCTTATGCACAAAATGGATGGAAGCAAAAGTTGTAAAAAAAAAAAAAAGAACTTGATGGAAGAATAAGCGCATAAGTAAACTCTACATTCAAAAACTGATTCTTGCTGCTTCTTCAAAATACTTCAGGGTATATGCAGGAATCCTAAAGGTAATTTCATAACCTTTTTAAGACTTTTTAAAAGACTCAGACTCAGAATATTTTAAGACATCGTCGCCACTTCAAGTTCTAATCAGTATCAAACCTTTACCTTATAAACAGTTGTTAATAAGCAGTTGTAGTTATATTAATCAATGGAGCACAACCATGCAACAGAACTCAGATAAACTCGGAAGAAACAAAACTTGAAAAATAAATTACATGGTTGTTTTCAGCCACAGGCTTCAGCCACTGTTTAAACTCATCTTTCTCCAATTAGGAGTACGCAAACTTAAATTTCCATTTTGCCGTCTGTTCCGCTCTATGGTTTCACTACACGTGGAAAGTATCACATCACCTTTATGCTTCTGTCACAAATTACACCCTGGCCAGAACCAATCGCATGGCTCAAGCACGCAATTGTTAATATTAGGAGGACAAATATATTTATGCTGTCTTTGGAGTCAAACACTTTGGACAACACTTAAACAAATTTTAAGACTTCGCAAAAACACAATTAAGACTTTTTAATAACTTTTAACTTTTAATACTTTTCAAAACCCTGCGTGCACCCTGTACTTATTTAAAATGAGCTACAGTAGATCAACACAATTCTTGAGTTTTTATGGGAGGGACAACTTAATTGTTCCATAATCAGTCCACTTAAAATTGTGAAAACAATGAAGTTAAATTATTGATTTGTGTTGGGACAATATGATCATAAATAAATAATTTACAATTGTTAGTGTATGTGTACAAATTTTATAAATCAGAGCCCTGGTCAATCTATTTGGATGTGTTTGCATAAACTCTTTGAGACTACAAATTATATAGATTTGGCGAAGTCAGACTACATGAAAAAGCCCTTTTTAGAATATTTTTATCGGCGTTAACATGCTGCGTTAACGTGAGACTCTTATCGTGCAATAAAAAAATATCGCTGTTAATCTATTCCCAAAATTTGGCTGGGAGCTGGGTCTATTCTATGCAAGCTATGATGACTCATGGCTTGATATTTTGGCACAGATGTACCTGACTGGTTAGCCGTCTGTCAAAAAAGTGCCCATTCTGAATAAAATCAGGAGGATGCCCCTTCGGATCTTTCATTTATTTCGAAGACACTACTGACTATGTTTATATGGCCATCTGTATTCTAGTAATTTGCATTAATAGACAATAATATAATTGAGGCGTTTACGTGAAGTGCTTTCATGTAAGAGTTTCCTGTAATTTTGGGTGACTTTAACTGTAGTTCGACAGTTTCACTTTAACTAATGATCTTTTCATTCATGTCGCCGTGACAGACTGGGGTATTGGATGCAAATAAGGAGTAGGACTGATGAGAGTTTTATGGAATTTAATAACGCACGCCAAAAAGAAAGAAAAATACTTCTGCATTTCGCGATGTGTGTGTGTGTGTGGTCCTTTACTGACAGCTGACGTTAGTACTGAAGTGTGTGAATCTTGTCATAAGCAGAAAAGTCCTACATGATTGTAATAGTTTGATTGTGGTGATTACTTCAATAATGCCACTAATATATGCATACTCTACATCTTAATTCCATTTCTGAACGTCATTCAGTTATGACTCGGATTAAGTCAGACTAAGGCAATCAAAAACCACTGTTCCGAGCTTATGTAGGCCTACAGTTCAAAATTCCTGTTTAACTGAATAAACAGTTAGTAAACACATGTACATCTTATTGAACATCACTTATTTTCATCATTTATATCATTGAACATCATTTAGTTTTATCACCTATTATCATAGTAGAACAGTTTCTCAAGCAGTATGTGATGCATTTTGGAAACAGGAGATGAGCCCCTGGTCTAATGCGCCACCTGGCTTGAGAAACCTATTCTCAAAGACTTAAATTTAGTCATTATTTGGGTAGCACACAAATTCTGAATGCCTTCGGCAGAATTAGAATGAGCCATTTTAATCTATTTTAATAGATTGATTTTAAGAT